TTCTATAAATCGAAAGGAGACTGCGACCACACCAGAGGCCACAACATCTTGGTCTTCATATATTCAATCATTGCTAAGCTTGTTGGATTTAAATATGAACCCTAAAAGCAACGTTTCATGCGAGAATTATTCTTTATATCTTTAAAAGCATATATTCATTATATTCCAGTTCCATTTCTTTTATTCTCTTCCGGTATTAAGCTCCCCTCCTAGTCTGTCCCATCCTGTATTTTCCAAATATCTCGAAGTAATTGATTTTTAAGTGGGCACAGCCTTGCTATCTACTTCTGCTGCTTTTAAGTATATACAACCATTTGTATGTAACTTGTTTGATCAGACAACTGAAGTGAAGGCAAAGAAATTTATCATAGTTATTTGTCAAACATTTCATTATATATTTATTAGCCTCTAAGTCTTATTGTGGTCTGACGGACGGTGACTTCTGGTCCCGCTATTACTATCGCGTCTGGCTTCTTGATGTGACCGAGGCCCGGCGGCGTCAGATTGCCCTTCGAGTGGCTGGAAATGCTGGCGTCTGCGAGACAGCTGATCATCATCCTGATGCTGTTGTCTCTTCTGCATCATCTTCAACACCTGCGGCCAGCAAATCGCTTGCTGTAGCGGCTTTCCCACCTACTGTGCAAACTCGACATCTGGCCCAGATCTCTGCTACTTCTGCTGCAAATCCTATATGTAATGAAGTCTCATCGGTATCTACTGCTATGTCAGTTGTCGCTTTGGTTGGAAATACGACTCCTGTCGAGGTAGACAACCTCGCAACACAAGTGCTTTCTAGAGCCAGTGCGAATGCATCGGCTACCCTTAGGATGGTTTCAGATTGGGGGGATGGTGAGTAACCTACTTCTTTCTATTAGTCCTGTTTTTATCACTGGATCCATTACCCTCCCTTTATCCATCTCGACTACATAGACTTTCATAGAATTATAATTTTGCTTTTCTGTGCTTATATTGTTTGTTTAAGAGGATTTCTCTGATAACGAAGATGAGAATACTATGGCCGACTCGGCCTCGGCTGGCCCGGGTCGCTTGGAGGAGGGTGAAGAAATCATGCTTGAGGACAATTTTGACTCTCGCATCGAAAAGGCTAACAAAGCAAGTCAAGTATTTTCCTTCCTTCAGAAATGTTTATATAAACCCGATTAATCAATCAATTATCTTAGCTACACATTAACGATGAAAAAATTGGATCAAGATGAAATATATATATATATATATATATCTTGTGATAACTAAAAGACTCAAAAGTTTTTTAAGCTATGTATACTTACGCGACGGCCTCAAATATTTTCCTTTTTCTTTCTGTCATGCTTACTTTTTTGTCTTAGCTAGCCGCCATCCTTTTTTAATTCTATATACAATAGCATATTTTATAAGAAATTCAATTTTTTCATAGTATGTTAAGCTTTATCATTTCTTTAGACAAGGCCCCATATTGGACAGGCTATCTGTTAACTGAATCCTATTGCTATTGTGATAAGTATTGAAAATTTTACACTTATGGCTGTCAATTCATTCGTAAAACTCGTAATTCCAACGCCCAATGAAAGGCGGACGCATGAAATTAATCTTGATATTAAGAGTGCTATTTCTAACTTTAAGTTCAAGGGTGTTTATATTTGCTAAAGCAATCGACGACATTACTTATTTTCTTTCGCCTTGAGTAGGTTTTCGAGACTACTTGCAAATATTTTTTTTCTGTTTTGGGCCAGTTATTCATTGCTTTGCCGAAATGAGGACGTTACCAGTTCATTTATTATGCTTTATTCATAGAATCCATTCTATTCCATCATTTCCTAGATTTAAGCAGGGGAGGTTACTCAGGAGAGAGTTGCGAATTCAATACATTAATTGGTGAGAAATTGTTGGTAATAGATCAGCAGTCGCCTCTTATTTTTAGGAGACAACTACTCGATTCACAAGTATTTAAGTTTAAAGATACTATCATGTTTAAATAGTTTTATTGTACTTTATATCCAGACCCTTGGGCTAGATGGAATTCGCGAGTAAACTCTTGATATCACTTGCCTTATAAAAGAATCATTGATGACTGGAAGATTTCCGAAAACAAATCTTGTTTTATCTTTTATGATCATTCTTTTTTATTTTTCTCCTACATTTTGCAATTTACATGCGACTTAAAAGGCTATCACATACAGCAGCATCATGCTGGCAAGGGAAATATTCGTGTTTAAGTATCTTATTCGTTTTGAGTAGGTTTTCGAGTCAACCAGTAAATCATATATATGAGATGCGTTCACCCTATTTCATTTAAGATGATAAAGGACACAGTTGAATTTTCACACAATTATATGAGTAGACCTTACGTTTCCATTGAATTTACATAGGTTCGCTTTCCCAAAAGGTATTCTCATCCAGGGTGGACTACAGCTTCGACCTCGCCTAGGTTTTGTCAACACCCCAAGCGGGACTCGAACCATAGTACTGCAGCGTGATACTGAACGCTATACTACCACGAATACCCTTAGATCACAGCGCAGGTGTGAATTAAAAGGAAGGTCAGACATTTTCCCATATCACATTCTGTGGTGGGATTGTCGATGAAGCAAACTTTTATTTGCTATGGCAATCGAGGACATTACTTATTTTTTTCGTTTTGAGTAGGTTTTCGAGACTACCAGTGAATATATTAGATGCGTTCACCCTATTTGCTAGTTGTCTCGAAGACCTTCTCAAAGCGAAAGAAAATAAGTAATGTCGTCGATTGCTTTAGCAAATATAAGTTTGCTTCATCGACAATCCCACTACAAAATATGATATGGAAAAATGCTTGGCCTTACTTGTAATCCACATCTGCTCTGTGACCCAAGGGAACTCATGGCATTATGGCGTACGGGTTAAAGTGTCAAGATTATACGCTGCATTTCCATGGTTTAAGTCCCGCTGGAGGTTTTGACAAGACCTAGGCAAGGTCGCGATTGCAGTCAACCCTGGATGAGGATGCCTTTTAGGAAGCAAGGATATATGAAAATCAATGGAACTGTAAGGTCTGCTCATATAATTGTGAGATAAAAATGACGTTAAGCCATTTTTTTCCCGTTCTAGTTGCTCGCCATCCTTTTGCCTCAGTGTTTTTTTTTGCAGCTGCCTTCTTTCCAAGTCTATTCTTTTACAGAAGACAATATCTCTGTAGCTAAACTGGTTTATTTTGGTTTATTGTTGTAATACTTCAACTTTTCATACAAATCAATTAAAATGGGAGGCAACTTATAAAAATTTATGTTTTGATGTTCTATTAAAATGCCTCTTGTTAATTTAATTCCTCTGTTCAGGATACTTTATAGGCAACCTAATTTCTTCGCGTAACTTGAGTAACTCTTGTCACCTATTTTTTTATTAAAGGGCCTAATTATTTAGATCTTTAACTTGTGTTTTCTTTCAATCGAGCTATATATGCTAGCCAACTTTTATCACATAACTTCTTGGATTCCTAAACTAGGTTATAATCAGCCCCTACTTTCTCGTCGTACTATACATAAGGACATTTTAACACTTAAAAATAGTATCCATACGATACCTTATCCTCACTCACCGTAGCCTCTTTACATTCTTTGGTTTCAACAGAATGCCAGTCTGAATCTCACTTCCGCAGTCTCTGACACTTTGCCACTCTCGACTGCATCTTCTTCCTCCGTCCATAGAATTGACTCGGGCAATAACACACTCATAACACCGTCTTCCGCCTGTGAGTTCGCCTCTTCTGTACAGTCGTCCCTGGTTTTGGTGAATCGCTTGGGTGAAGCAGATGATGCTGTTCTGATGACGTCAGCTCCAGACCCAGTTTCTTTTTCCACTTCAGCCTCTGTTTCGGCACCCGTCTCGGCTGCTGCTTCTATCCGGACTGATGAAGACTTCGAGGAGGTAGCCAGAGAGGAGGGACAAGCTGAGGGACTGGCTGACTCGGAGGTAGAATTAATTGGTGATCAGGGCGAAACTGTGGCCAGGCATGGGCACTTGACGAATAAAGGGGATGACGATGACAGCTTTGCAGTACCCACTCCGGTTAGCCGCTCTCTTGATAAGTCGTCTCTGACAGCCTCGGGTCAGACTCTGGATCTGAATGAATGCTGTAAGTATATAAACAGACAGCTAAATAGGCCTCTGTATTGGATGAAATTTCCAATATCCACAAAGACATTTTACTATATAATTTTAATTTAATAATGTTGCACGAGCACTGCCTAATTTTCGTTGTTGATTATTTCGATTATCACTAAACTTCTCAGCGTCTCAAGTTTCTTGTTGGAGTACTTTTCACTTCGCTTGAAGAAGCTAATGGAAGGGATTCGTAAGTTGGTTCCATCGGGGGCTGTGGGGGGGTTGCCTTGGAGCTGTGGTTGTAGATTTGTGCGAATAGGTCCTCGGCGCACCGCCCTGCGACCCCGATGAATCCTTGCTGTACTTTCGTCCGTCATGTGAAATGGGTGCAATCGAAACCGAACTACTGCATCCTCTCCTAAAACACTTATGCCTTATATCCTGCAATGTTACTGCTTGTGATTGCGTCCCATTGCGCACGTGTTGTTTGAGTGCATTGCTCTTGAAATGAGTTTGATGTGAGAGTCAAAACCAAATTTCAGCCTAATCAATCCTCTTGTTCGGTAGTATTTCTCGTTCCCCCCTCTCTCTGAACCTATCTAACAGCCACAAGTAGTTTCCGCTTAACTTCCTATACTTGTTTCTTCCATTCAGGGCGTTGGCTGTTTTGTTGATTTCTATCGCCTCCCTAATCTTTCGCTTACTAGTATAAGAAATAAGTAGGTTTGAAGCTGGAACTTTCTTGTCTTCGTGTTTTTGGTAAATTATCGTTAATCATGGTGTTCTGCTTTGACGGTATCCTTCACATGATGGACGAAAACTTAGCAAGGATTTGTCGGGGTCGCAGGGCGGTGCGTCGAGGACCTATTTGCACAAATCTACAATCATAGCTCCGAGGCAACACACCTTCACAGCCTCCGGTGGAATCAACTTAGGAATCCTTTTTACTCACCTCTTCAAACGAAATGAAAGGTACCCTAATATAAATCTATTAAGGGATTCTTAGAAACCCAGTTTTTCTACATCTAAAGTATCTTGTCCCACCATAAAAACATTGTCGTGATTGATGAAAGAGTAGACCCGCCAGGTTTTTGATAGCGGCCTAGTTGCCTTTGTTTTACAGTCCTCCGCAAAGATTTTGAACAATGGTTGAATAAATCTATCTTCATCTCCTTGGAGTTAGTTTTTTTATGGCCTCGGGCAGCTCTCACCACTGCCACCAAAAGTGATGGCATGGGTCACTATACTGGATATAGTCAGCCAATTTGACGAAGCTGTGCATTATTTTCTTGACAAGTGCTAGCATTTTGCCAATATTGAATTTTTATTTCAATCATTGCTTGCTGACCAATCCTAAACATTCTATTCTCAATAATCTCCTGAATACTTCTGCCTTGGTTACTGTCATCGCCCAAGGCTCAGCCACAGCCATAGTAATGACTGTCCAAGAGAGTAATAACGTACATGCATACTCTGAGGTGAGGTTTTGTTAGATGATCTTCTGGACGTCTACACAGCAGCATCGGTTACTTGTCTTATTTCAGTCATGCTACCGAGATACCAAGAGTCTATATGCTTCTAAAAAGATTTCTGATATGCGTGGGGAGTCGTTTTCATGAGTTTTCTAAAGATTGTAATGCAGAATTAGCCTCGTCTAGTTCTAGTGTCGGCTTAATCTTCTTGAGCTTAATATCTTGCTCTGCATGATTTCATTTTTATCATTGAATAGATTTATTTTACCAGCAAAAAATAAAAACTACTCGAAACGGTTTCCAGTCTCCTGAACTTGTGGTTTGTTTTCATGTTTGTGTACGATCTGGCTGCTTTTTAGTGGAGGAAAGGAGACAATCTTAAAACAATTCTTATTGACTCTAGTATAGAGTAAAAGGAGCTTGAGAGTCTTCTGTATCTTTCGGTCTAATTCAAATCAGTTTTTCTTATCCCTTATCTTTACCTCCATTCAAATGAGTTACTCACTTGAACTGGCGTCGTCTGATGTCTGAGCTGTCTTGAAGCTTCTCAGTGTGTCAACTACTTCGTTTCTTACATTTAAGAAGCTTTTAAAATCAACCTTCATGTTTCTGAGATATTATCCTGGCTTTTTCCGCTTTTTAATCGTTACACTTTTTTTCCTTCATTTTTTGGGTAGCTTTATCACTCTGGTTATACAACAATATTTGCCACGATATACATAGTTACATTAGTAGATCCATCTAGAGTTTTAAGACATCTTTTCAATTTTATACTCTTCCTTTGCTACTTGCTGCCTTATTGAAGTCTATGTATGTTGTTAATTTTCTTGAGGTTTTATGGTAGCTTGCACGTTAATTACTATCTAGCGTTCTTATTACGATGGCCGATCTTTCTTACATGGCTACCTGACCGAGACATAGTTTATTTGTATCCACTTTAACTTCATTGTATAGGAGTAATCTAACCTTGTTTTCGAAACTCCATTCTGTTGTCAGTGCGACCTTAACGCATCTTGTTCGGAGTCCCCTGCCACAATAATCACGATAATTTGTAACATTGAATCATGGAATTAGCATATTCCTAGACGTTCCGCCGATATTCTGGTTAGCTTCCTCACTGAGCACTACCACTATTAACGCCAAGCCATAGAGTACTTCCTTTTCTTTTTGACGAGCTGTGGCTTAGTTCTAAGAATGACGGCTAATTTAACGTGCTGACTACAATATCAGGAAAAATCTTGGTATGTACTAAATCCACGACCCATAATGAAAATTGCCATGAGTACTATGGAAAAAGGACTCTGGACAAGGTGAGTTCGTCGAGTTCATCTTGACAACACCAGCAAGTTGCAAAAACAAGATCAAAACACTTCTATACAGCGAAAGGAGCCTGCGACTGAAAGAGGGGCCACATTTTCTTGGTCTTCCTTAGGTTATGTAAACATAGATGAATATCGCTACTTTTCTACACTTTCATATAGATTGATATCTCGGACTATCCTTTTGCATTAGGACACATTATTTAGAGCAACGCCGCCTCTTCGCTGCCTAGTCTGTAAAAGGCTATTTCCTGATGTCGGTCTGTTAGTTTGCCCCAACCCAGGCATATAAGTTCTTATAAGACAGGAAATTCTATTTTATGGCCTTATAAGTCTTTGGGTAACACATAAAGGACAGTCAGATGGCACCAATTACGAGATTTCAAATATGCTGGCACATCATCTGGCTTTTTTTTCCAACTTTGTCTTAATATGGCTTGGTTAATCGACCAAACACTTCGTCCCAGTCTAAGCTTATTTCATAGTCCCCGTTCTGCCATCGGCTTTTCACGGCCCGTATTTTCCTTTGTATTACTTCAATAGGGTAGCCATTGCCGAGAAATATCCCCGTCAATTTGTCCAGCTCCTCGTCCCAGAATTCTACATCAGTTAAGCGTAGGACAGAAAAGACAATAAAGGATTCACAAAAGTGGATATGCCTAGCTTCCTGCGAACTAACTCAAAAACTACGGCCAATATTGAGTA